TCTCTGAAGATAATTAAAACTTTATGACTATTGTAAAAATATTTGTGGTTTTTAAAAAAAAAAATATTCTAAAAATATAATATCACTCTCCTCGACATGGGTAAAATAATCTTAAAATCCATGTCTCTGTTGGTTCTTGGAAAATTTTGGTTTTTTCTCATTTGGGTATTTTTTTGGCCTTCATTGAAGACATACATTTTTATAATGATCTTTTGTGTGTAGCTGACCTCGACTTTCGTTTAAAACCCAATAATGTTCTTTAGAAACATTTGTGAAATTTAAAATCATATTTATTTTATTTCCTATAATTTACAATAGAGACCAATTAAAGTACTGCCTTACTATGAATCCTTTATGTCTTAATACCCAACAGCAACTTTCAAATTAATTACCTACTTACATATTATAAATTATATTTTTGATATATGCATACATACATAAATGTTCCTCTATAAATATTTCATATATTTTAATTAATGTGCAAAACGGATTTCAAGGTTGCCTGCATCATAAACATATGATTCATTATAATCCTGGCCATTTTTCACAAATAATACACAACACATTAAAAGTTAATTTGTAATGCAAGCCATCCCCCCCTCCGTTCGGCTTTACACTTTTAAATTGTCTTGAATCCGTAAAGGTTTTTCGGCTATTATAAAATCTTAATATTTGATCTTTTGTTTCTTGTCGACGTCTTCGTCGTCATAGTCATTTCACAAGTGAGCCCCAACAAAAAAAAACTATTCTTGATTAATTACCAACAAAATACTATAATTATGATTAATGAAGTTTATACACACACATATGCATGTTTTTATGAGTGAGTATGTGCGTATTTTCTTCGCCGGAAATGGTTCTGAATGTAGAAATGTGAAAATTTGTGTAAATGGTAGTTTTCTATATCTCTGAGAATATTATAAATTGTTATTTCTGGGAAAATTCCTACACGTACATACGAAGCATGAATATGTAAGCGTGTATGTATTTATATTTATAACAGCGTATAAGCTTACAGCCACAGAGTCATTATTAACAAATATTATAAAACATTAAGACATTTAGCTGGAAAATTTATAAAAAGGGGTTGTGTATTTAGTAGTGTGCACAGTGTGTTTGTGAGGCACAATATTTTCCAGCGAACATTTTAATATTTTATTTTGTTTAATATTGTTCAATGATTTTCTTAAATATGTTTAAAAAAAAATAGTGGATTTAATATTTTTTCTCAAGATCAAAGGAAAATTTTATCTTGTTGTTTAATACATTTTTTGAAAGAGGATGAGTTTTTATAAGAATATTTTTCCAAGGACCGAAAGATGAGTGAATTTTGTTAAGGCTGAATATTTTCCCAAGGTCAATAGGCAAGGGGAATTTTGTAGGAATACTTTTTCCAAGGACGAAGAGTTCCTAGGGTTTTTTTATGAATATTTGTTAAAGAGAACAATAGTGGCGTGTATTAAAAAAATATTTTGTACAATCAACAGAGGCGTCGATTTTATTATGAAAATAATAGAGCAGAGGAATTTTTAGGAATATTTTAAAAAAATGTTCAAGAGACACTTGAATTTTTTTATAGATATTTTTTCAATGACAATCGGAAATGACGAATAATTTTCCAAGAACCAAAAAAGGAGTGGGTTTTTTACGAAAAAAAATGCCAAGGACATTAGTGTGCAACATTTTTCTAAGGACCAAGAGTGGCATCCATTTTTAAATATTTGTTTCAGAGACCAACAGTGGCATGTATCTTTACGAATATTTGTGTGCAATGATCAATAGCGACTTTTTGTGAATATAGACCAAAAAGGAGGTGGATTTTTTAATGACAAACTTTTCAAGGACATTATAGGTATAAATTTGATTAAGAACCAACAGAGACTTAGATTTTTTCTAATATTTTTCAAGGACAATAGTAGTGTGAATTAGTTTATGTATATTTTTTCAAGGACCAACAGAGGCTTAGAATTTCTATGAATATTCTTCCACAGGGCCAATAGAGGCATGGATTTCTAATGAATTTAAATTTTTTTCAAAGACCAAAGATAGGCTTGGAATTTCTATGAATATTTTTCCACAGGGCCAATAGAGGCATGGATTTCTAATGAATTTAAATTTTTTCTCAAAGACCAAAAGATAGGTGGACTTTAATAGCCTCCACCAAAAGGGGGTTCGTATATTAAATTTGTCATACCGTTTGCAACACTTTGAAGTATTTGCCGTAGATCCCAAAAGGTACATCTGATCAGAATGAAATTCAGTGTCTATTTAGCTATGTCGATTCGTAAGCCTAATATAACGTAATATTCAAGATAGAAATTTGGCCAATGAAATTTTGTATAACAAATGGCGAATATCGCTCCACTTTTTGGATTGGAACCCATTAAGGGTAGATTCTATATTATGGCATCCCCCAAAATTTCGATATCTTTGGGTTGTTTGTGAACATTTTTCACATGGAATCTAATTTGACATTTTTTGTTCTCATTTGGTGTCAAATCTTCTTAATAAAAATTATAAATATCGTTCCACGTTTTAATATAGCCCCCATATTTCTGTATTCCGAGGATTTCATTATTATACCCTTCACCACACTGTGGTGCAGGGTATTATGTACTTGTGCATATGTTTGTAACAGGCAAAAAAAAAATCGAGATAGATCCATGATTCCTTTTGAGAATATGCATAGAATCTCTTTCTGAGTCGATTTAAGCAGGTCCGTCTGTCCGTCCGCCCGTTCATTTATTTTTGTGAACAAAGTACAGGTCCCATTGATGATCCGATTTGGACGAAATTTGGCACGTGTCACTTATTTGGCCCAAAGACGAACCCTATTGAAATTGGAAAAAATCGGTTCCCATGTATAGTTTCGTCTGATTTAATGTAAATGGGTACCAAAGTCCCTATATATCTTTCGATTTGCACGAAATTTGGTATAGCCTACTGAATTAGGTCTAGAATTATGTGTGCTAAGTTTCGTGAAAAACGGTTCAGATTAGATATAGCTCCCATATATAGTTTCGCCAGATTTTAGGTAAATGGTGCTCCATAGTCCCTGAAAATCATTTAATTTGCACGAATTTTGGCACAGTGTATTGAATTAAGTCTAGAATGACGTGTGTAAATTAAATCGATTTACACAAATCTGTCCCACTGTGCGCAAACGACTCTAAACTTGCCTAAATGAAATAAAATTTAGCCTACGTTTCAGAAAGACATAAAAATCACATATTTAATTTCGTTCAATTTCATGTCAAAATTCCTTCAAAAAGGCGACGTCTTTTCGGATACATATGTAGAATATACCCAAAGTGGTGAAGGGTATCATATAGTCGGCCCAGTCCGACTTTACAACTTTCCTTACTGGTTCCAATTGTGTTTGTTCTCACTGAAATCAATCGTACCAAAATTTTCAATATCTGTTCCAGTTGTAGTCCCCATTTGGGAGACAAATCTTCCTACTACAAATTGTGGTATTTACCTTGATGGGTAAACAACTTCTACTAAGAAAAATTTCAATGAAAATCCACGTTACATTGCTTCTATACGAATCCCGCGGGACATTTTCGGCATTCAACCAATGTGTCTGAAGTTTTTTTGATTTATCAATTTCAGGTATATCGATTTTTTGTATTTTCAATGTTTACTTCATAGTAAGGGTATAAAAAGTTCGGCAAGGTTCTCATCTTAACCACTTTTTACTTATTGTATTTAACAGCCTCAAAACTAAATCATTAATGTGTCGAATATTTTGTCTATAATGATGTAGCCCAATGTCGGGATTTGATTTAATATTTTCCATTCCATCACAACCATTTCTGTTTTAAAACAGTTTATTTTTATTTTTAATCACTGTTCTCTGAAAATAAATGTCGGTTGGTTGCCTGACTTACATACGTGTTTACACATAACAAATAGTTAAGGATTAAAAACATATAATTCATCAACATCAATGTGGCAGAACACAAAATTAGTTTTAATATCGCCGGATATGGAAAGAGTAAATATCATTATAACAAATGTCATTTGAGACACATACACACACTTACGTATACAGACTACTTTATCAAACATAAGCAGAACAGCCTAACCCGCCAAAGTACCCGTCGTCGTCATCATCAGAAACAAAACCACAATATAATGACATCAAACAACAGCAGCTACAACAGCAACAACAATGGCTACAAAAATGTAAAAATAACATATGCCACATTAAATCTTAATAGTTAAAGTTCCGTTCCCCTTCATCAAAGCCCTTCTTCACGAGCGTGTTTACCCTGACATTTACTTAAGTATCAGGGCCAGTTTTATATGTTAGATGATATTCAACACACATACAGAACTACTAACAAATTATTAAGGGATAATTTTGCTGAGACGGAAACCTCTTGAAAAAGTCAAACCATCGAAAAAAAAACAAGAATGGAAACTGTTGATACCAGAAAATCTGGCAAAAGCCAATCCTTGCGAATAGCCAGTAGTACTACAAACCCACCAAAAACCATGTCTGTGTCACACAGAAATACAGCAACAAAAAATAATCCCATTTAATAACAACAAATACCACTCCTAAAGACTTAACACGCACACACACAGCAATACACAAAGTCCCCCAAAAAGTCCGTCGGTCGGTCGGTCGGTCGGTCGGACACACGCCAAGCACACAATTGCACACTGATGGAATTTTGAAAATGAAATCTGTTTTTGAATGTCCTTTCTCTTTCATAACTGAGTACGTTCATTTTGATTTTATTTAATTTTTTCTTTTATTCTATTTTTTTTTTTTTTTTTTTTTTGGTTCGCTTCCTACGTTCGCTCGTTTTTTGTTTGTTATTTTTTGGTCTACTGGATTTAAGTAAATATTATTAATAAAAGTGTTCTAAGTATGTGTTTAGCATAGAAAATATTATGGTTTTTGAATTGTATTTAATTTGCCATTCACCCGAACCACCCATAACAATGTGGTTGGTGTTGGGGTATTTTTTTCGCTTTACTTACAGATGGACGCATGGGTTTGTCAATTCTACCGATAGCAGCTCTCTTAACCGGCACACTTTTCACTGTGGGTATTGCTGTATTATTTGTTGTTGTCGTAGCCGTTCGCAAGCGACGCTGTCAGGGTGGCCGTAACATGTGCGATGACAAGGATAAACATTTAGGTATGTATGGATGGGTGTATAATATTTTTTCGGGAAAGTTTTTTTTTTTTGTTATTCCCATGGTCTTGATACGTTTGATGTTGGTAAAGTGGCGAAGTCAGTTTGTATTTTTCGGTATATATTTACCATAAGCCGCCGTTTAAAGTATGACCATATATCTGGTCATGGTCTTGTTAGAAGCTTTTAGTTATACTGACGAAATTGTTCAAACTTTGTTAGTCGGAGTTGGTAAATCAGAGGAATGTAGATTTTTTTTTTGAAAGATGGAAGTAGAATAAGGAAACCGTTCGGAAATTAATAAAAAATTAAAATAAGTAGTCGAATCTTAAACCAATTAGGGAAGTTAATCAGTTAATTTACGGAACTATAATCATGTCCAAAATTTTGAGGTGGTGGAACATACGTACATGTATAAAAACCTTTTCGTTCCATTAGTTAGACAAATTCGTAGAACCAGTAAATTATCAAATTGAGTCCTATAAATTCTATGCTTAGTTCGGACGCATATAAACAACTTTTTATTATTTTTTCATTAAATAGAGGTGGTTATAGGCGCAGTAAATTTTTAAATAAGGTCCTATATAACATTTATAATAATCTGGACCTGTATTTAAAATTTTTGGCAATAACAGCTGTAATTTCTAGGAATTCGAAATGTAAAATCACAACCACTTTGACTGGATCTTACAAATACTAATATTGGTACCTGACATTTTTTATGAGTTCTTTGTCAAAACTCTTCTAAATCTTTAAACTTTTACTTATTTCGAATATGTGAAAAATGTCCCGTTTATTGAAATTTTGGATTGTCAAATGATAACTAATTCGATTACAAAATGTGGATAAAATCACGATGTTCGGAATGGCAATAAAAATGGTGCCAAGTGATCCCTGGCGCCATCTTCTCCTTTTATTGAAGAAGAATCGCTTCGTAGTCAGTTTTATTCGGCAAAACTAGTCATACTCTCCACCATGAGATGGATATCCAAAATATATAAATTAATCGAGACTTTTCAAATGTCCACACTAAATAAGCAAGGGCCCTAACCATTGAGACGTTTTTTCTAGGCAACGTTAGATGGCAGTACCATTAACCGGGACAGACTACAACAGACCAATCAACAATTTAGGTGAAACATTAAAATGGGGGGTTGGAGGAAGAAAAGTTCTTTCAAAGTGATTTTCAAATATTTTTAAAAATAACAATAAATGCCACTCACGCTGATAAACTGGCCAAGTGTCGACTATTCCGCTAGAGCAACTTAGGAGGCAATTCTATGTGTTGCTGAACTTTTTATATTCTCCACCATGAGATTGATATACAAAATACTTGATTGATTTGATTTGTACTTTTCAAATGGCGGCACTAAATAAGCAGGAACCCGAACCACTGTACAAAATTCATAGAGTCGTTATTTCTAGGCAACAGTAGAGGGCAGCCCCCGAACACCTAGGCTACAGTGAAAGAAATGTTATTTTAAGTGGAGATGGATATTCAGAATACTTCATTTTATCGGGACATTTCAAATTGCAGCACTAAATTAGCAAGGACTCGAACCGCTGCACAAATTCAAGAAGTTGTTATTTCTACGCAACTGTAGATGACAGACCAAACACCTAGGGCAGGCAACAGCAGACCAATTATTTTGCTGAAATATAAAAGTGGGGGCTGGCGTACTTAATCGGGTCCAAATCCTAGTGTAGGAAGAAGAAAAAGCATAGACCAGAACTACTACACAAAATTCAAGGATAGGTTGTTTCCACGCAACGACAGATGGCATCTCCATATTATAAGACTGGCTATAGCAGACCAATCATCGACTTAGCTGGAATATAAATGTGGGGGTGGCGTTTTTCAATGGATAGTGTGTTATAATACAAACCGATGGATCTCTGTTTCGAGTACCAGTGAGGAAACAAATTATTACTAAGTGGTTTTGGACTATTTATAGAAACAGGCTTACATCTCCACCAGATAAAATGCATCAGGAACCCCTTGACATTATAATAACCAAATTCTGCACCAAAATATAGCGCCACCCAGAGGAGAATGGCAACACTAAATGAGTAAGGGACCGAACCAATGCACAAAATTTAGGGATGTGTTATTTCTAGACAATAATAGAGGGGCAACCCATCACCTCGACAGGAAACTACAGACTAATCATATACAAAGCTTAAAATATAAAATAGGGGGTAGCGTAGTCAAACTACAAACCGATGGGTCTTGCTAGCGGAGGAAGAACAGGAAAATAAGCTTACGTCCCTCTGCAAATGAAATGCATCCAAAGCCCACTGATATTCTAATTGCCATATGAGAAGAACAAAAAATAAAAATAATAGGAGAGAGAGCCACCCAGAAGAGAATGGCAACACTAAATGAGAAAAGACCCGAACCACTACACACAATTTTAGGATGTGTTGTATCTCGTCAATCATTGATGGGCACCCATCACCTGGACAGAAACTGCAGACCAATCATCTACATAGCTGAAATATAAAGTGGGGGAAACTCCCAGCGGAGGAAAAGTTATTTCAAAGTTAATACACAAAAACCCCAAACACTACAAACATTTAAAAAAGCGTTGTTTCTATGGAACGGTAGATGTCAGCCCCAGCACCAAGTGGGTGAGGTTAGTTCAGTGGATAGTTTGTCAAGCAGAAGGAAAATTTTTCTCAAAGTAATTCGAATATTTGTAAAAATAATCACCAAACATTCTCTATATAAAATGCATCCAAAGATTCTGTGATTCTAATGACCAACTTCCGCATCATGAGAATAGCACAAACATGGAATGACAGAAGATAGTCATCCAAAGGAAATTGCAACACTAAATAAGCAGGGAGCCGAACCAATACAAAAATTGAAGCATGCGTTGTTTCTATGCAACAATAGATGGCAGGACAGGCTATGGCAGTCCAATTATCAACTTAGTTGGAATATAACAATGAAATTATAACGAAGTTACAGAAAAAATATCGAAATTGTGCTGTCAAAATGTTTTTCACCCACAAAAAACCCGAAATAAAAAACTGCAGCCAGTTTTTCATTTCCAAAGGTCGAAAATTGGTCTGTACCGTTTTATGGAAGATATACCAAATCGTGGACCAATATATTAAAGCATGCGTTGTTTCTATGCAACAATAGATGGCAGGACAGGCTATGGCAGTTCAATTATCAACTTAGCTGGAATATAACAATAAAATTATAAGAAAGCTATGACGGCAATGCCAATGTTACAAAGGGAAGTAACAGAAAAAATATCGAAATTGTACTATCAAAATGTTTTTCACCCACAAAAAAACCCGAAATGAAAAACTGCAGCCAGTTTTTCATTTCCAAAGTTCGAAAATGGGTCTGTACCGTTTTAAGGAAGATATACCAAATCGTGGACCAAACACTCGAGGAGTTGTAGTAATGTGTGTTAAAAATGTATAATCTTTGTTTTAAATATTTGGATATTGTTCTTATTTTAAAAGTCAGACGGATGGACGTAGTTAAGTCGACATATAACTTTATTCTAATTAAAACTTCGTATATTTTCTGGAGTTTCCGCTGAATATTTCGAAGTATTGCACACCAAATGGTAAATACAATTTACGCTCCATCTTATGATGGAGGACACAAAAACGAAGAGGAATAATAATGCAATGTCATTTCTCAAACATCGGATCAAATCAGGGCCTTTTAGTCGGACAAAACATAAAATCTATATTTTAACCGTAGTACAGCCCTAACTAGACATCCAATGCCTGTTGAAGCATTCAAAACACCATGTTTTGCAAGTATCGCATAAAAAGTTCTATGCTAGAGCAACAAAACAATAATAAAGAGTTGAATTTTTATTATTAGACCAGGAGCAAAAAAATATTTGTATTATTTTTTAAACACGTTCAAATATTGGTACTTCATACACCAAATGTTGGACCTACCTGTTACCCATTGATCTGTATACAAAATTTCGTTACCAGTTTTCAACAACAATTTTGTTTGTACCAGATAAAACACAACACCGAAAAAATTCCAATATTTCTCTATGATTTTATTTACATTTTTTAACTGTTAACAATTTTGTGCGCGTTTTATTCTTGTTTTTTCTCCAAACAATTTTCTAAAATGTTTTATTTTTTGTTTAATTTTTTTCTACAGGAATGGATGTTACTGTGACAGCACCACTGGAGACTGGTCCGGGCCATCAGCGGCTAGTTGTTGCCTATACCCTAAAACAAGGCATTGAAAAGCAACCGGATATATTGAGTGCACAAAAAAATACAACAGGCAGCGTGACTTCATCACCAATGGGAAATCGACCAAGCGGTGGCATTTTTATAGATACGAATACCAGCAATGGCGGTGTAGGCTCTAAGGCTGGCAATTACACGGGCAATGGTGGTGTGGGCAATAGCACAACAACAGGAAACTATGTAAGTTTAAATTAAAAAAAAAATAGAATAGGGAGGCAAAATATGCAATTTTTTAACTAAGGGGTTTTTTGGGAAGATTAAAAGCTTGACTAACAAACGTGCTAGGCAACAGCATTACTTTGCTGCCAAACAAAACCAGGGGATTTGAATATTAAAACAAATATTTAGAATGCGAAATATTAAATAAAATTTTGTTTTCAACACAAAAGTAAATAACCGTTATGTATTTCTTTCTCTCCTCTCTCCCCCTCTTCAGGATTCGCCAACAATGAATTACAATGATGCTTCAGCCACCGATCCATTACAACAGCAACTCAATAGCCCTCCTTCACAATCGAGCACACTGAAATTGGGCTCGGATAGCAACAGGAAGCCATATCAAACCCCACCACTACTATACGATGCTCTCAATCGTCATGATATCTCACGTTATGACCCACTGCCATTGGCCATGAATTATGGGGGAAGTAATACCACATTAAGTTCCGGCGGTAGTGCTGGCAACCACTCGCTAACCAACAATGCAACCACATCACTTATGCAGAGCAACCTCAGCAATGGTCACTACAGCAGCAACAACAGTAATCATCATCACCATCACACATTGCCGCATCCAACAACGATGGCCATGCAACAACAACAGCAGCAGCAATTGGCATCGAGCGCCACACATCAAGGCATGGGTACGGAGAAGCTATCAATAGCTGATTATCTTACGGCCAGTAGTCTAATTGATTACAATCTGAGTAAAGCTGCCACGGGGATGTTGAGTAACACCATTGCCGGTGCTGCTGGTGGTGGCGGCGTTGGTATTGGTACCAACAGTGGCAGTGGTTCTTCCAATTCAATTATGGGCCATATGACCCTGCCCAAAGGCTTGGGCTTAGGCTCCATTATGGGCGGCGGTGGTGGTGGTGGAGTTGGTAGCACAAATCAACCAGTCACTGCCGCAGCAGTTGCATCGGTTGCAACTGCATCATCAACTACGCCAAACTCGACTATAACACCTTCATCTTCCAGCAATTTGGCCATAACACAAAAAACCAACACTAACCGTAATCATATTATAACGGATACCCTACCGGGCCCCGAAAGTTGTGTTTAAATTTGTAAGCTATAAAACGAAAAATAGAAAAACAACAAATACATAAATTTAGACAAAAGCTCCGCCTCCTACTCTAGTATAGAGACAAATTTTAAAATTTCCAATTTCATTTGAATGAAAAAACTCCCCAAATACAAAAACTTGACGAAACACAAATGACGACGAACAATGAAAATATACATATATAGATACAGATGAACTAGATATACATATATGTGTGTAAATATGTTTTAAGAAACAAGACTGCAGTAAACTAAATTAAATAAATAATATAATAATTTCGTAAATATAAACTAACTATAATTAAATAAATGAAAGCAAAAAAAAGAAAGATGTGAAAAATGAGAAAAAATTATAAAAAAGAAAAAAACAAAATTGTATAAGGAAGGAAAACAAATGTTAGATCAATGAATTTTATGTAAGGGAAACCAAATATTCCTATATTAAATAATTGTAGTTTTTTAAAAATAACATAACAAAAAAACATTTAGTGTTAAGAACTGAAGGATAATGATATGATGATGAGAAGTTAGCTTGAAAGTAAAATAAATTTTTTTCGCTGCCAAGCAGGGTGTATAATCAAATATAAATTTTAGTTGTATAGAGTGTAATATTCTATAAATTACTGGAAAGTCATGTTCGAATCAAAATCATGTTCAGAGTTTTCCAACTTACTATTTCGTTTACCATAAAATAACTTCAGAATCTTTAAAAATGTATCTTCCATTCATGTTCATTTCTAGTTAAAGAAAAAAAAACAGGGTGCCAAGACTATATTTTTCTTCGACAGCAAGGCATTTGTACGAATTGCCTAGGTAGTAATATGCATTCCACAAAATATCCTTCCTATAGGAGAGCTGCATGTAATTTTCTTCGTATAGTAGAGTTGGAGGTATTTTTCTTCATATAGGAGAGCTGTAGGTATTCCACTTCCAGTGGAAGAGCTGTAGGTATTCCTTTTCCTGTGGAAGAGCTGCAGGTATTCTTTTTACGGAAGTCCTGGAGGTATTCTTTTTCCCATAGGATAGCTGCATTTAATTTTCTTCTTATAGGAAAGCTGGAGGTATTTTCCTTCCTTTAGGAGAGCTGGAGGAATTATTCTTTCTATAGGAGAGCTGGAGGCATTCTTGTTCCTATAGAAGGGCTGGAGGTCTTCCTATTCCTAGAGGAAACTGTAGGTATTCTTCTTCCTGTGGAAGCGCTCCATGTATTTTTCTTCCTATAGGAGAACGGGATGACTTCTTCTACATCGAGGAGAACTGTACGTATTCTTCTTTCTGTGGAAGAGTTGCATGCATTATTCTTCCTTTGAAAGAGCTGCAGATATTCTGCTTCCTTTGAAAGAGCTGGGGGTATTCTTCTTCCTATGGGAAAGCTGGACGTATTTTCGTCATATAAGAGAGCTCGTGTGGAAGAGTTGCAGGTATTCTTCCTCTTGCAGAAGCGCTGCAGGTATTCCTCTTCCTATGGATGAGCTGTAGGTATTATTCTTCCTTTGAAAAAACTGGAGGAGTCTTCTTCCTGCGGAAGAATTACAAGTATTCTGATTCCTGTGGAAGAGCTGCAGGTATTCTTTGACAACGGCTTATGATATACGGCGACTATGAAAGATATAAGAAGATGGCCAACAATGAACCCAACCCAATGACTTATTTTTGTTTTAGTGATCATAAATTTTCAACGACCATGTTAAAGCATTCCAAAAAAACCTTAATTTACAAATATCTCAATCTGAATAAAAAAAACTTGTCCACAGTTTTTAGAGCGCATAAAAAGTTGTATGCTGGAATACACTTTGAAAAGCAACAGAACCATAATAAATAGTCGTATTTTCTTTAATAGACCAAAAATATATATAGCAGCCCTCGAAGCTGAAAAATGTCTCTAAAATGTATTACAAACCTAAAAAGCTTGGTATTTTTTATCCCAAATATTGCTCTTTATGCACAATTTCATTACCAGTTTTCAACAATATTAGACATAACACAAGTTATTCAAAAAAATTACGATATTTCTATTTTCTATGATTTTTTTTTTTTTGCTTTTTTTAACCTATTAACAATTATGTGTGCGTTTTATAAAATGGCCAAAAACTATCACATTCATCTGATTTTGATACAAACTTGTAGGTATTTTCTCAAGCAGCAGCTTGGGGTTATTAACGTGGAAATGTTTCTGTTAATAGGCTTTTAAACTTCCAAAAGCCCAAATGGCCTATTTATAGACAAAAAAGTAGGAATCTACAGTAAGAACTGTAGAAAATATATAAAAATGTAGCCTGAGCTTTATATGGGCTCTATGTCAAAACATGAACCAACGTGGACAATTCTCTGTGAAAATTAACGCTACTGAATCAAGATAATGTTCATAGGACCATTAAAATACATAAATGGTGAAGAGACTGCGGCAAAAATGTATTCTACATTGAGCAATTTTTGTCATAGGTTTAAAAACGCGGTTAGAACTATACAAAATATCTAAAATAGTTGCAGGTCCTTTATGGACCCTTTCTACGACCATTAAAATACATACAAACGGAGAAGTATTTTATGGAGGCTATATCAACATATAGGCCTATAAACTAAAAATATTCTGCAAATATCCTAAAGATAACTATATAAGGTGGGCAAAATACGAAGAGCTATGGGAAATGACAGCATTATATCAATGAAGATCCATGTCTTCATTGATATAATGCTGTCATGAGGTATGTTGTCCCTTGAAAACCCTATGTACTCATGGAACAATTACAAAGTATCAGTCAGTGTTGCCGACAGATATATACCCTCAGTCACAGGTTTTATTTCACTTTATATGTGATATGTGTTTTTCATCAAAGATTTGACCATCTGTGGAGAGGTAACAGAAGAGGATAGCCTATAGACCCGATTTTCGGATTTAAAGTAGTTTGGTAAATATTACGATGTACAGACAGTGAATTAAACCGCTTATTCAATTCGCTTCAAAATAAATTTACAGGTTTGTAAAATGTTGTCCTTTTTGTGAGTCAGAAGAAGATAATATTTATATGTACAGTTTGAATGAAATTTGGACATATACATATTTCGCTTTATATTAAATTAACAAATTTTCAAAAGTTGTAAGCTTTGTGAAGGATGTACTAGAAAGAGGTGGAACGATTGGATAGTCCGTTCGCATGATATTACAAAATCAGTTCTCCGCAAAATGTTAAACATTTGGTGTGGGAGATACCAGAAGGATTGGATCGATATGTCCCATCTTCGAACTCGATAAAAGCTTCAAAATTTATTGAATAAAACCGCTTACCCTTGGAGAGTTCTCGTGCGCACTATTTAAACTGACACATAAACGGACGAACATCTGTAAATCGATACCAAATTGTCTGAAATAAACATGGGATCTAAAGCCAATATTTCGATGGGGCACATTTTTGCAGTAAAAAGGGGTATACAACATGGCCGATCAGGAAAAGGCTACAACATCCTTTAAATTTAATAAAAACAAATGTTGTCGATATTTACAATATCTTTTAACTTATACATAATGATAATTTTCTCTTATATAACATAAGATTATATATGTGTTGTCAATGTGGTATTAAACTTTAAAGTTCCCTCGAACCATTTGTGAAAAAATTATGAAAATCGGTTAAGTAATCGCTGAGTTATTTGCATTTGAATTCAACCACGTTCCGATATACCCCTACTGTTCGGTGCTGGGTGCCTATTACCTGAGAATTAAAAACAACTTAAATTTCGATCTTATAAAAATGGAAATAATTTTTTTTTCATAATAGCTACTGTGTATGTATGCAAAGTTGTGTGTTACATTAAATGTATGAATAAAAATATAACCTTTTTAATTTAAATATAGGCAAACCAGCAGCCATTATGAAAGAAAATTACCGACTTTTAAAAATCCATTTTTGTGTGGTTTTTCATTTTCAGGTAATAGGTGCCCAGCATCGAACAGTAGGTATATTTCGGAACATCGTTGAATTCAAATGTAAATAACTCGGCGACCACTTAATCGATTTTCATAAATTTTGAACCAATGGATAGGCGAATTTCTATTGATTTATTCCACATTGACAAGATATAAAATAAACTAATGTTATATAAGAAAAAATAAGCATTTTGTGAAAGTTCAAAGATGTTCATAATATTGACTACCTTTTTGGTAAAATGCAAACAAAGTACACACTATCTCGGTTCGATTTACACGATAGTTTGCATGGCGCATTGAATTTCGGCCATTTTTTATATCCTTCGTCTTATGATTAATGAGGGTATATACAACTTTTTACGACAAAAATCTGCCTCACGAACTATTGTTTTTAGACCGCAAGTTTCTTTGGAACAAAACAGTTTCAGACAATTTGAAGTTGATTTACAAATGTAATTCCGTATAAATTGCAAACTATAGGTTGGGGGTACATATCTGTCGACAGCATCTGAACTGACAGACACTTTCTTACTTGTTATTTAACCATCTTTGAAATTTAAAAAAAGGTTCCAAAACTCCCCTCGTAGTATCTTTGTTTTACTTATTTTTAAACAAATTTCGAAAGTTAAATACCTTCTAATCTCTCCTACAAATTATATTCTCGATGCTCGTTTTCACATAGAGAACATTTTAGAGATTTTATATAAATCCGAATTTTCGCCTATAGTTTGTGGACGTTTCAGATCGAAGATCATTGATACCTCAATATATAGAGAATATTTTAGAAGTCTAGAAGTATAGAAAAATTTATTTTCAGAGAAGAATCTAGGGGTCTTATATAACAGAAAAAAAGCTCAAAGGAGAGAATTATTGCCAGTGCTATATAGAGGATCCTTCATAACTTTCAAATTAAATTTTTTCTTTGCAACCAAATTTTCCCATTTGATTATACACCCCCAAATGGTTAAATCGACGTTCCATAAGCGTACATTATTTGAAAGAAAAGCAACAATGAAACAAAAAACAATATTTGAAATTGTACTCCACTAGAAATAGGATTAAATTAAACCAAA